TAAAACAATGCCATTTGCAGCAACATGGATAGACCTGGAGAATGCCATTCTAAGCGAAGTAAGCCAGAAAGAGAAAGAAAAATACCATATGATATCACTCATATGTGGAACTTTAAAAAAGACACAAATGAACTTATTTATAAAATAGAAACAGACTCACAGACATAGAGAACAAACTTACAGTTACCAGGGGGGAAGGGGGTGGGACAGAATAAGTTGAGAGACTGAGATGTGCAGATGCTAATGACTATATATAAGATACATAACAAGTTTATACTGTACAGCACAGGGAACTATATTTAATATCTTGTAGTAACCTAGAATGAAAAAGACTAGGAAAACAAATATATGTATGTACATGGATGACTGAAACCAGAAATTGACACAACATTGTAAAAAAAATTAATAAATAATAAATTTAAATTAAAAAAAAATTTAAATAACGATAAAATCAGTGTTGACCCAAGACTGCCACATTAATTTCTGCCAATTATTTTTTCTATAAAACTGCCCCACTTCCCCACCGCTGGCAAAGCGGGGCCCCACGCCCACAGAGCGTGAGTCCCAGCAGGGGCAGGGTCTGCCCCAGAGGACAGATGTCCTTCTTCCTGACTGACAGACCAGCTTCTGCTTTTCCCAGCCTCTTCCCCTTGGGACAGCCCGAAGAGGAGAGGAGGTGTTTCCAGTTTGACACAGCTGAGATGTAGGGGTTGGTGACGGCACTGAGAAGGGTTTCAGGGATACACTGCGTTTCAAGAAAGGCTGTTGCAAGTGTAAAGATTTCTTCTGTAGCTCACAAGAGGGAGAGAGAGTCTTGCCCACAGGGGCAGGGGGGAAGGTACAAGGTCTGAGACGCATGTGACCTGTGCGGCAGCTTGTGAACAGACTAGACTGATCGGGACACAACGTGCTTGTCTTTGATGATCTGAGGATTAGGAGGGAAAGGCGAGCGAGGTCAGACAGTGAGGATCCCGAGTGCAGGGGAAGGAATTTGGATTTTATCCTCCAGATGAGAGATCACTCTAGGCATTTGTCCAAATTCATCACATGACCAGCAATAACTTGTTTTAGGTAGATTAACCCAAGGTTATGCAGCACGAAATAAAAGCAGTAAGGACAGACTGAAGCAAGGAACAGTTCAAGGCTGCTCTGTGTCATCCATGGTTGTCGGTCTCTACCTGACATCCAAGAAATGGGAGGAACTAATAGGATCTTTTTTTTATTATAGCAAATGTTAAAAACATTTTTACCTGGTCCTCAAAAAGAATCCAGACTTATTATACAGAAAATGCTGAAAACATGGATAGTATATGGAAGAAAATTAAAATCACCCATTCTCACTAAAACCAGAGATGAATACTCTTGGCATATTTGGCACTTCTGATTTTTTTTGTTTTATTTCAATTAATGTGTGTCAAAGAATCATGGTATATTAATGTTCTGTTTTATATAGCTTGGATTTCTTGTAATTTACTACCTAGTGGCCATTTCTGTTTTTGTTGTTCTTTTGTTGTTGTTTTTAATTGAAGTACAGTCAGTTACAATGCGTCAGTTTCTGGTGTGCAGCACCATGTCCCAGTCACGCATATACATACATATATTCCGTTTCATATTCTTTTTCATTAAAGATTATTACAAGAAATTGAATATAGTTCCCTGTGCTGTATGGAAGAAATTTGTTTATTTTAATAAAAAAAAATCCTAGAAGTCCTCATTTTTAATGCCTGTACAGTATTTCACCTTAAGAGTACAGCGTTGTTAACTATTCCACTATCGTAAATTTAGATCTTTATCAATGTTTTGTTACTATAAATGCTATTCTGATAAGCACCAGTCAACACAGTCAACATAAATATTTTATTTAATATGATTTTTCTCCCTTCCCTGCAAATAAACTAATTAATTAAAAAAAAACTCAGTGGAGCCTTTGTTCCTTATTTTTTTGGCCTGTTTTGATTTTGGTTCTTATCTCCCACTCCCCTTCCATAGTCCACTATAAAAATTGGGAGGCAGTTTCTAATGTTTCTAATTGAACTTTTCCTGAAATTATCGCCTCCTTTTGGTGCTTGCTGTTTCAAATGGTGTATTTTAATCTATTGCTCTAGACCTGGACATTTAGGGGGTTTTCACTTTTTCTCCTTTTCAATACTGTGATGACTTGATATTCACGTGCATGTATTTCCAAGGGTACAAATAAAAGGATACAAACCTCCAAAGTGAATTACAGGGCCCTGGGACAGACGCACCTTCAACTCTAGCATCCTGTGTCCATCAGTTACATCCACCAAAGTGGTACCAACTTACACTCACTTCTGCAGGCAGAGCAGAGAGATTCAATTTACCTGCATCCTTGGCAGTCCTTTCTTTTACATGCTTGCCAAGCTCATGGAAGTGAAATGGTATCTCCTTTTTTTTTTTTTTGGTAATATCTCTGTCTTGCATTTCTCTGATAACTAATGAATTTTAGCATGTTTTTGTACGTCCAGTGGCCATTCAAGCTTCTTACCTGAAATTTGCCCATTTTCTGTCATTTGTCTTTTTTTAATACATATCCTGTGACAGGTATATGGTTTGCCAAAGTGTTCTCCCAGTATCTGGATTTTGATTCTTGTATAGTATAAAATTTAGGCAAATTTATTAAAGTTATCTCTTATGTTTTGGGTGTTTTTTATCTTGATTGCCAAGTTCTCCAGTGTCATAGGCTCTCACCTGTATTTTCTTGTAATTCTTTATGGGTTAATTGCTTTATATTAAATTTTTAATTCATCTGACACTCATTTGTGTAGCAACCAGGTGATTTTCCAGAATGAGGAGAGTGAAAAGTGGAAACAAAAGAAAAATTGGGTAGACTCTATACGGGCTTCCATTGTATAAGTCCCTACTTGAACCATTGAGATGTTTTCTTTTTTGTTCAAACACCACAGATCACACCCACCATGGTTTGTGGTGAAGAAAGTGAATGTCTTTCCCGTTGAAAATCTTTTTCCACAGAGGCCCTGTCCAAGTTCATCTCCATGAAGTCTTTGCGAAGGAATGGCTGCTCGCTGGGGCTGAACATAATTTCACCTCCGGGGGTTTTCAGCCTGGTCTTCAGCCACCTACTTAACTTCACACATGAGCCCGGAAGGAGCCCGTTGTCCCTTTTAAAACAGTTGACATAGGTCCATTTTCCTTTCAGCAGTTCACAGAAACCGTGAGTCCTTCAGTGTTGCCCGCCGCGGCCCTGCCCCTGGACCTCCTTAATAACGCGGTCACTGCCTTCAGTACCTTGGAAGACCTGATTCGGTATCTTGAACCAGACAGATGGCAGTTGGACTTGGAAGACCTATACAGGCCAACGTGGCAACTGCTGGGCAAAGCTTTTGTTTTTGGAAGGAAGTCCAGAGGTAAGCACCCTCTTCAGGTTAGAACCTCATTTAATTTTCTCCGCAGCTAATGTTTCAGATTCTTCTGCCCCAACTTTGGATGAGTCGAGTTTGAAATTCTCCCGTGAGATATTTAAACAATCCATTGTCATAACACGTGAGCCTCTTTACCTGTGAAATAAGAAAACCTACAGAAGGAGGCCCTGACGTAGTGGGCTTGGAAGACTTAAAGAGATGCTTTTGCTGAGAATTCTCATTTCTTTCATGCAAAAATATTTTGATGAAGTCTTCTGTTACATTTCACCAGAATCATTACTTCTTCAAATTTAATATGGGGAGGTAAATGGACTTAGAGACTCAAGGGAGATTATTGTAGCTGCTAACCCAAGGTTGGGGCTAGAAAAGTGGAAAACTCAATTAAAATCGTTGTCCACCTGTCCCCGTGAGTCAGGATTATATCAATTCCCATTTCCTAAACCTAGAAACTTTTCAAAATAATGTGAAAAGTAACAGTGGCTTGTCATAAACTAGAACTAGTAGTTTCCAAGATTAGGGTGCACTGTAAGAAAATAATGGCCTGGAGGAGCCCACACAGTGGTAATTGCTTCCTGCGTGAAGATGCTTCCGAAATGATCACTTCTGACTGTTTGAGCTCATCTCCCTTCAACAGTGAAAGTGTTGATAATTAAACTTAATTCCACACGGTCAAGATATTGGAAATAATGCCAGCCGAGTTTGCTCAAAGGCTGGCTTATCTTCCCAGTACCATTGGAGCTGGAAAGCATCCCGGTCAGACACAGGTGAAAATGTTAACTGGGTAATTAGAAGGCGAAAATCTGTTTCAGTCTGTCAGACACATTGAAGTCTACCCAGGGTCACTTTAAAGAAGGGACCGACAGTCTGAAGAGTGGCTGTAGAAAGAGCAGTGTTAATTTCAGCAACTCACAAGGGCAGATTGCATCAGGCGTGTTCTTCTTCGGAAAGAAACCGGATTCCTGCCCTTTCCTGCTTAGAGGTGCAGCCTTTCTGCCCCAGGAACTTTCAGCTCCGTGGGTCCTGTTCCGACTTGCCCAGCCACGGTATTTGGCTGTTTCCCTCAGCGATATTTGGAATCGCGGTTCAAGTCCATAGGCAGCTGAATCTTGTCCAGATGCTGAAAGCTGTTACATATTTATAAGATTTGATCTTGATGAATAACTTACGAACACTTCCCTCCCCTCCCACTCAGGAACAGGGGAAAAAATGCAGACCTGCAAGGCTAGCTGAAACACCATGAATAGAGCTTTTGTGAGCAAATTTGAAGTAGATTTTCATGCAGATCTGTAAGAAGCAGAGGGAGTGAACAGGCTTCTGAGCTCTGATCTAGTTTTTTGACAGCTGATCTAGGGATTCAAGCCTGCTTATCTCCCCTCTGGCCATGCCTCTTTTGCCTGTATCTCTCTCTGCTCTGGGTGCTCAGTGAGGGTTTGGCCAGCGGCTAGTGTGTATTTAAAAGGTCCAGCACCCACCGCATCAGATCTTTCAAATATTCGTTGAACACTTTCCAAATTGAAGCCCTTTGCAGTTTGCCAAAGCTATTAACTTTTTTAAGCATACAGTAAGTGTGAGAAAAGCAGTGTATATTTTTGGAACTTTACATAAACTAAAACGCAGGTGTGAGATAACATCTATGTAGACAAAACCAACTCCCCTCCCAAGAGTCTTTCTACAAAGGAACCAGGAGTAAAACGTTTAAAAGCTTCTAATTAAACACTGAAATAGATTTTCCACAGAATAAACATATCACAGTGTTACCACATTCATCTTAGAAGGACCACCCTCAGATTGCATTATAGTAATAGAATACCTTTGGACTGACTATCTTAAGAGAATGAACACGAACAAAGTAAAATGTGATCATAAATTTTTTTCAACCAGTATTATCCTTTTTAGTAAAACCTGCAATACTTCTGCGTCTGAACAAGAAAATACGCATTAGAAACGTAAGTCTTCATTGATGACAGGCTGCAAATCTTCCTTCTTCAGAAAGACAGGCTAATGCATGTACTGTCTTAGGGAACAGTTATGAAAAGGAAATAAAACTTCTGAAGGCTAAGTTTTACTTTACAAATATTTTGCAGAGACAAACTTCAAAATATTTGAGTTATTTTTAAACGTATGTGTTGGTACATGATCCCTCTTTCTCTCTGTCTCTTTGCTGCCTAGACGTTCTGCCCTTTTGGAGAATTTATGACACCAAGTTGTAGTCACGTGACTTAACTTTAATGAGGCTTAGATGAGTTTGAAGCCCTGAAAGCAGGAAACCAGAATTTCAAATGAGATATGCCAGACTGAAGGTCCTTCCTTGCATTCTCAGCCCAGGGTGCACTGCATTAATGTTTTTTCCGTTCCTTTATTTGCCCTGCCTTCCTCTGGTTCAGGGTTTTCATTCATACCTTACTCCTGCCGAAAAAAAGAAAAACACCATATTTTCTAAGTCAAGCTTAACTAGTACTTTAAAAAGGGCTTTTGACTTTTGTGTCAAACATGATAAATGAGTGGAAGTGAGGTTGAAAGCGTGTTTAAATTTTCACATTGTAGCAGGTACCCTAACTTCGTTCCCTTGGGAAATCCATCTAACCTTTTATTGTGGTTAAGTAAACATTTGAAAGGGAACATACACAGTCTCATTTTCTAGTTTCATGAAATAGTCTGCTTCAAACTCTTTGAGGTAGATGAATAGCTTTTGCAAGTTAAGAGCTTCATTCACAGTCTAAAGAAGCATAAATCTTCAATAAGCATTAAAAATGTTGGCAGCCGGCTTTGGTAGGTGTGTGCCTGCTTTAGGCTTGCTCTCCCCCAGCCTCAGTACTAACTTCCAGAGAAAAGAGTTAAAGACGCTCATCTGCCATTCGGCGGTGGGAGAGTAACATGCACACAGACCGTTAGTTCAGCAAAATGAAATCAGGTAAAATGCGTGACATCGTTTAACCTAATTATCTCATTAATTTTATTAGGGGTAAGCTGGCCTTTTATGACACTCAAAAAGAATAAACTCATTTCCTCTTAAAAATTGAAAAGCTATCCTTTCACAGGACCAGTTTTCAGATAAAAAGGAAATCTTTAGCTGTTCAGATAAAACAGTGATTGTTCTTTTGCAGTGGAGAAAACAATTTTTAGCTAAATAAGGTGTTGAAACGAGCCAATTGAATTAACATTTCTTTGGTGTTTCCCTCTACCTGACCAAGGTTTTAGTCAACCATACAGTAAACCATATAGTTTATAGGTGCTTTTAATTTACAGTTGCACATGCATAATCTATAACATATTTTTGAAAATACTTATTATATTGGCTTCCTTTGACATTTTAGAAAAACTTGACCACATGATACAAAAATAACATAGCTAAGAAAATAAGCATTTGATTTTTAATTACCTTGTCGTTTTAAAAGTATTTAAAAACATGTTGGCACAATTTTTAAAACTGGGTTACAGAGTGATTATTATTATCTGAAGCTCTCTTTAGCCAGAACCTATTATTTGTAATGTTCCCAATATTAGTAAAAAGGTTTTTAGCCAGATTTATTTTATTTTAGATAGTGTTCCTAAATTTTAACAAAAGCTCTAGTTTGAGGAAAGAAGAGCTTTGATAGATTGTCTGTTATTCAGAACTTCAATTTTATCGGAATTGCTTTTCTTGAATGTTTCTAGGGGAAAGGGCACAGCCGTACAGCAGAAATTAAAATTAAATTAGAGATGTTTATCCGAATAATTATCAACTACTCCATATGTTACATATAAATTCATATTAAACATGAAGTATTATTCAGTGTCATTTTGTAGTTTAAAACAATGGCTCTTGGAGAACTTACTGTAACAATCTAATGAAAGGTAATTCTGTTCGGTCTTCACAAGTAGACACTCTTAAAGAATAAGGCACAACATAGTTAACCAACTTGCTAAAAGAATAACAATGGTTCTAAGTTAGATATTCTTTCATCCCTTAGAAGAAGAGAAATCTGAAGGAGTCTGGTTACGCTAAATTTCAAAGTCCCTAAATTACTCAATACACCAGTGCTTCTGCCCTTTTTAATGTATCCTCTTTTTCACTCCTGGTCCACTCAGCTGCCTTCAGAAATTCATTCCTTCTCATTCCTCTTCGCACTCTATGATTCTTATTGCCAGAAAGATTGTAGAAATGTCTCTCAGCCAGTTTGGTAAGTCATTCTTCATGAATTGCGTGAGCTTTGTCATCCTTCAAAAACTGCCCTTGCCTTTTCATCGAAGCGTTCGTCGCTGGACCTTCCGGGCTTCCTCCAGTCCTCCCCTTGCTCACTTTTCCACGAAGGTTACGCGTGTAGCCCTCCTTTTTCTCTCTGAAGTCTCCTGCCTGTAGCTCCGGACTCTGGGTGCTGTGTTCTTACCCCGGCACAGTGCCATCTCTTCACTGGCCCCTGAGTCGTAGGAAGCTTGCTTTACCACCGCGTAGAGGCCAGGCTTCCCGCAGCTTCACGCTCAGACCCGGTGAAGGTGATGAGGATGCTGCTGGGGTGGCTGTTCGTGAAATAGCTAGACTTCGGCACGAGTGCGGACAGGGAGTCTGCGGAGGGGCGCACGGCTCAGCGCGCGAACGCCTGTCTTGCTTGCCCCCCGTGTGCCCCGCAGCGGTGGATCTGAACCTCCTGAAGGAGGAGGCGAGGCTGTACAGCTGCACGCCTAGAAACTTCTCGGTGTCCGTCAGGGAGGAGCTGAAGAGGGCGGACACCATCTTCTGGCCGGGCTGCCTGCTGGTCAAGCGCTGCGGCGGGAACTGCGCCTGCTGCCTGCACACCTGCAGCGAGTGCCAGTGCGTCCCCAGCAAAGTCACCAAGAAGTACCACGAGGTAGGCGTGCGCTTCCCGCCGCGCTCCGGGGAGGGAGGGGCTGTGTCCGAAACAGTAACAGAACAGTGTGTCTGAACTGGGTTCTTGTTGCGAAGGAGATGCCGCGTTCGTGAAAACAAAACAAAAACACGGCTTATAAAACAGTTCATGTTTTTATCCTATTTTTATTTTTAGTTAGGACCTTGAACTCAGAAACCTCGACAGCAAGGATTAAGAAAACTTATCCTCTAAGAGTTCATCGCGGATGATCAGTGGAGTTGGGGTTTTTTGGGGTTTTTTTGTTTTTTACTTATTCTTAAGTGCTTTCAGGTCTTTATTTATTTATTGAAGTACAGTCCATTACAATGTGTCAATTTCTGGTGTACAGCACAGTGTCCCAGTCATGCATATATATACATATATTTTCATACTCTTTTTCTTTAAAGGTTATTACAAGATATTGAATATAGTTCCCTATGCCATACAGAAGAAACTTGCTTTTTTTCTTCTCGGAGTTTTTATCTCTTGTACAAAAAAGAAATAGGAAGGGATAATATTCTCAACAGAAACTTGAGGAGGTAAATGATCATCTGTTTTGGAGAAAAGAGATCTTTGACATTTATGTTTCCATTTGGAGCATTGTGGGCACATGAATCCTAAGAGACATACTCATAATTATAGGTCCTGTTATTCACAATTTATATCGTCCTGTTTTTCACGCTGCCCCCAATATGTTCACTCTTTCAAACATTCTTCATCCTTCTGTCTCTATTCTATGGAATTAAGGAAAATGTAAAATCAAATGTGAGTAGTTATTGTTTCTCAGAGTCTTGGGAACCTTAGAATTTGTACATTCAGATTTCCGTTGTCCCCAGTGATACCCCGCCCTCTTTCCCCCAGCTTCACGTAGCTTTCATCTGTCAGGAAGCAATCCCTCTTGATGGGCCAACTTTAATTTTTACAAAACGTTCTTGACAAACTAATTTTTACCACACCATGCCAAAATCTGCCTTCTGACATCATTTCAGTATGGCTTCATTAGCTATTTTTTTTCCTACTAAGTAAAAGAAGAATATAAATAAATATCTCCTTCATAAATTAAGTGATTTTTTTTTCTGGGCATGCAGACGTCAAAGAAACCCCATCTGTCAGGTGATCTGAACACACACGGGGTCAGAAATGCCCTTCACAATACTGTGTGGACAATTGATTAAGTGGGAAAACAAATACTCCAGGTTCCTGATCCCAGATCGACCATCACCTTGTTGGGACCAGATGCAGGACACTTAACCTTAGTCAAGCGAGGGTGAACTGTGAGAGTCTCCCAGGTTTTCCCTAGAGGTGTTATTCTGTGACAGTTACTAGATGGCGAGATTTAGCAGAGGACGTCCAAAGCTGGCAGTCTGTGACTAAAAACAGGGCTGCGGGCTGCCGTCACTCGTGTTCCACTTTCATTCCTGCAGCGCACGCTTCTCAAGATCCCTGTGCCGGGTCAGCCTCCACGCCTGTTGCAGGAGCTCGCTGGAGCTCCCGCCGGCTCTGCCCCGACGATGGCTTCGTTGCTGTGCTGTGAACTGGGGGTCTAGTCAGTAGAAGACCCTCCCTGCAGTAGTGCTAAGGCATGCTGAAGTAAAGTGCCTTTAAGGGTAGGCAGATAGCAGAGCCGACTGGCGTGATACACAAGGATCTGACGAGAGGGCTCCTTTCCCACCTGAAGTCATTCCATTTTGAGCTCTCTGAAGCAGGTACTTACTAAACAAAGTATATTTGGGGACCTGATTTGAGCCAACAAGTCTTGGGTTTATGCACCACCTTTCTAAGAACGATAAAACCCAGAGTGGTCGTACTAGCTTTTTGAAACAAGCTCATCAGTCGAGATCATACTTCTGGTGTCAGCAGACTCAGTCCTCGGATCAGGCATTTCCTCCTCCAGCCTAGACTTGTAAATTTCTTTGCAAATTACATTAGTTTTCGGATTATCCAGAAAGTCACTGCAGAGCGTGAGCAATCTGTTTTTAAAGTCTCAGATAAAATTCATGTGCAGGGAAAGACCATGGGCAGTGTGTAGACTCGCTGGCCTTCTTCCAGAATGACAATAATTCACCTTTCTCCTGCCTTTGAGTGGGGTTGGTCACACACGTGTCATCTGTGTGTGCACATGTACGAGTCTGGATGTGCATTTAATCATATGAGCGTGTAGCACAAGTTTCCCACCAATATCTCTAAACTACATGTTACCTTCTCCACGCTTCTCAGATATCTCCAGTAACAGTCGTGTCTTACTTTGTTTTATTGCTCTGTGGGAATTATACATTTTTCTGTGGTGGCCTTTTTATTAACCATCAAATTACCCTAGGAAAAAAAGGATTATTTGCTTGGTGGAATTCATAATTTCCAAGGCCTAAATTTTTCCCAGTCTTAGATTTTGGAAGGCAGTTCCGAGTCTCCTAGTACTCCTAAGTAAATGGCAACTTTTAAAAAACATAACTTAAAATAGTTCTAAAATCATGAAGTCATTGAATACCATCAATCGGGATCTAGAGATTTAACTCATTTAAAGTGAAGCCCATCTTGGGCTCTGATTCTTTTTGATGATCATTCTCCCGATTTTCAGTTTAAAGATCATTCCACTTCACAGAGAAGGCACAAGCAAGGACACGGCTTGGAAGGTGGAATTTCCCTCTCTCTCATCTCGCTCTGTTACAGCTTCCTGACACACTAAGATGAATCATAGTCACTGTGTCACCACAGATGTGACTGAATTATTCCCTCTTTTGGTTTCCTTTGGCATTTTCATTGGGTTTTGTTCAACCACTGTGAGCCCCCCAAAAATAAGTGTACAAACTTAAAAGTCTCATAAAATATAGCAAGGATATTACTGCTGTGATGTTTTCCCGCTGTGCACCGGAAAGTCACACGACATTGTAAATCAACTATACTTCAGTTTTTAAAAAGTTAACTATGTCTCATAGTTTTACAAGATTTTGCACTTTATCCCTTTAGAAAGAAAGTTACTAAATAAACAGAGTATGACTAGTCATGTTCTGAGTCTTCATGAAATTAGTATCTGTCACTCAAACTCGAATAATTCTTCTTTGGCAGAAGTACAGATGCTTGTGTTCCCTGAGCTGTTCACTCATGTGTAAAATAGGGGTAATAATTGTAAATTACTTCATGGAATTCCTGGGAGTCAAATCATGTAAAAACATTATTATAGAGCCTGGCACCCAGTAAGCATTCAAAAAATGTTAGCTAATTAACCTTTGATATGACCACATCCTTCAAATGAGGGACCCGTTCTCTGTTCTTCTTTTTTAAATCTTCTAGTAGAATAGTCAGAAAACCTGACTTGCACCTTTTGGGGGTTTTTGTTTTTGTTTTTAGGGTCTTCGGGGGAGGTAATTAGGTTTGTTTATTTATTATTGTCTTTTTAGTGGAGGCGCTAGGGATTGAACCCAGGACCTCAAGCATGCTAAGCACGTGCTCTACCTCTGAACTACACCCTCCCCCCTAAACTAGGCACCTTTTTGGATTAATGAATATTTCTAGGAATGGTATCTTTCAGAAGTGGCTCTATGAAGTTATGTGTGTCAGACCCAGAGAGCAGAGAAGCTAGACAGTCTCATATCATTCTGCGCTCTGGGCTTTGTCCATAATGCAAACACACATCATTTCTAGGCAATGCATGTTGAGTAGTAGGTAGTTCTTATCAAATACGTCAGATAATCCACAGCTCCGTCCTTTTGTCTCAGCATTAAAGGGGAATGTTTTGTATCACTGTTAATTTTGCTATACTTTTTTGTTAAAAAAGAAATATCTCAGCCATTCAAAGTGCAAATAACTTCTTTAATTGAGGCATGCTTGGTATTAATGCCAAGCCATCTCCGCCTGGTAGGACCCAGCTGCCGAGTGTTAGTTGTGACGGAGGCTGATGTCTGTGAAGTACATCTAATCCGTCTCATCGAGTTCATAGTGGACTTGGACGGTGGCCAAGAAAATTAATGAGCGGCCTAATTGAGCAGACTCAGCTGCGGAGGGGTCGTGTTTCCTCCTACAGCATCGCTGCAAGGATGGGTATCTGTTCCAAGCGTGAAGAAATGAATGAGTGAAAGAAACCAACAAATGGGGAAATGAATTGTGTGAAGGGTGCGGCAGTGGTTCCAAACTCCCTAACCAGGGTGACGTTCTCCCTAGTGCTATCAGATGTGGAAAGTAAAGAGGGCTGGCGGGTCTTTGGACGTACGGTCTGTTGGTGACTCCTAGCAGCCTCCTTCCAAATGATTGGTGTTACAGGTTTTTTTTCAGGAAATGATGGCAAGCATTTATGAATTCCTTGAGGGGTGGGGGAACGTGTTCCCAATGCTCCAGGGAAAAATTAAGATGTGCTGAGTGGCTGCTGGGGCCCCGAGGTTCTGCGCCAGGAGATCACCTTTGTCCCTGGGATCAGACGTCACAGGCGTGGGTTGACTTTAAGGTGGTGACCTTGTTCCCTTTCAGGTCCTTCAGCTGAGACCCAAGACGGGTGTCCGGGGTTTGCACAAGTCCCTGACCGACGTGGCCCTGGAGCACCACGAGGAGTGTGACTGCGTGTGCCGAGGGAACGCGGGAGGATAACGGCCCCGCAGCCCCGCCAGCGCGGGCTGGGGCTGCCTCGGGGGACAGGGCCCGCACCGGCCTCCAGCCCCCTGCCCGGTGCTTCTCCAGGGCCCTTCCATCTGCGGGGCCTACAGGCGATCCAAGGGAGGAGGCAGCCCGCGGCATCAGGGCTCTGGCACCCGCTCTTTGCAGGGGATGCTCGGATGCTGGGAGGAGCGGTCCAGGTGTGGAAAAGGATGCAGGGCTGTCGGCCGCTGGCCAGTGGCCCGCCCCCACTTGCTCCCAGGTCTCCAGGTGGCTGGCATTCACGTCAGCATAGGAGAGACGTGTGGCCCCGAGCACCTGATGCTGTCACCTCACTTAACTCTCCAATTCTGAGCTCTGGGCCTAGAACAACGGAAATCTGGGATTTTCTTCTTCTATTCACATATATAAGCCAGAGTGTTCTATGTCCCGCCAGCGTGGGCTTTAAAAAGGAACTCTGTTGCCATGAATTAAGCTTCTGTCACCCTGATAAGAAAGACTGGAGTTTCCACATTTCTTATTACAGTTTCTACCACTTAGAAGCAGAGAACTACATTCATGGCCAGGAAGAGACAGCTTTCAGAAGAGTGGCCTTATTTTCACTTTATAAGTTGGTTTATTTGTTTCGTTGTGTACATTTTTATATTCTCCTTTTGACATTATAACTGTTTGCTTTTCTAATCTTGTTAAATATATCTATTTTTACCAAAGGTATTTAATATTCTTTTTTTTTATGACAACCTAGATCAACTATTTTTAGCTTGGTAAATTTTTCTAAACAGAATTGTTATAGCCAGAGGGACAAAGATGATATAAAATATTGTTGCTCTGACAAAAAAAAAATACATGTATTTCATTCTTGTATGGTGCTAGAGCTTAGATTAATTTGCATTTTAAAATACTGGAGCGGGGAATGGATAGAATTTGGTAAGTTGCCAAGACTGTTTGAAAATAAATAAATTAGCCTGTCATTCACTCGGATCATTGGAGGTGCCAGTAAGAAGCAGCACATGGGAACAAGTGTCCAAATCCAGGCATTAATAATCCCTAACCCTTATTTTGGGAAACGTGAGCCTAGCTCAGAAGATCGTAAAGCACCTTGAAAAAAGAGACGTGACAGCTTCCTGACAGAGCGATTTGCTGTCCTGTAGGAACACGTGCTATTTATTGTGACGTTCT